ACAAGCAAAAATACCTGCTGGATTTTGACTGAGGCTGCACTGAATTTAAAGAATAATTTAGGGGTCGGGGATATGGCTCAGTGGTAGACTACTTGCCTAGCATAAATGAGACCCAGGGGTTGATCCCCAGCCCCCCGCAAAAAAAAAATATTAATTTAGAATGAATTCACATGCATGGAAAAAAATTCCATTTATTTAGGCTTTTCCAAGAATATGTCTTTCAATAAAATATTGGTTTCTTCATACTTGTCTTGCCAATCATTAGATTTATTTATGGGTACTTTTTAGGTTTTTTTTTTTTATAACTAATTAGAACGATTTTTTTTTTTAATATTTATTTCTTAGTTTTCGGCGGACACAACATCTTTGTTGGTATGTGGTGCTGAGGATTGAACCCGGGCCGCACACATGCCAGGCGAGCGCGCTACGGCTTGAGCCACATCCCTAGCCCCTATAGTTTGCTTGCTATTACAATGCTTTTTTATTTTTGCACTACATTTTATGATTATGTTTGGTTTATAGAAATAGAATTGAAAATTAGTCAATGTATGGTGTCTTTTTTTTTTTTTTTTCTGCGCTGAGGATTAAACCCAGGGATGTTCTACTGAGTTACATCCCTATCCCTTTTTAATTTTATTTTTGAAATTTTGGGACAGGGTCTCACCAAGTTGTTAAGGCTGGCCTGCTCATCTTCCAGAGTAGCTGTGAATACAGTCATGAGCTACAGTTAGCCATCTTCAAATGAACTACATTTCTTCTTTTCTGCTGAGTAGAAATGGTGATAATGGGCATGCCTGTCTTTTCTGATTTTAGAGGGAATATATCCTAGGTTTAACTTTTTGTTATCTCCTTGTTTTTGGAGATTTTATCCAGGACCTCATGCATGCTAAGCACAATCTCCACTGCTGAGTTATACTCCCAGTCCAGGTTTCTTCGTTGAAATTGATTGTGGGGCTGTACTCTGGGAAAGAGTCTCTTTATCAGATTAAGGAAGATTCCTTCAATTCCTAATTGCCAAGACTTTCATTTTTAGAATGAATGAGCGCTGGATTTTATCCTTATGCTTTTCTGCAATTACTACGATGATTTTATTTTTTTCTCCTTTAATACATTATTGAGGTGAATTACAAGTGAAGTTTTTCTCATGTTAAACCATCCTTGTATTCTTAGGATAAATGTAATTTTGTTATGACAGGTTGTCTTTTTCTTTCTTTTTTTGGGGGGGAGGGTGTTACTGGGTATTAAACCCAGGGATGTTCTACCACTGAACTACATGCCTGGCCCATTTTACTTTTTATTTTGAAACAGGAACTCATTAATTTGCCCAGGCTGTCCTAGAATTTGTAATCCTCATGCCTCAGCTTCCCAAGTTCCTGGGATTATAGGCATGTGCCACTGTGACTGGCTAGATTATCTTTTTTATATACTGCTAGGTTTTATTTGTGGTACTTATATTGCAGTATAATAAACTAACCCCCAATTTAGTGGCTTAGCAAACAACCATTTTTGGCTCCAATTTTATAAGTGGGCAATCTGTCTGGGCTCAGCCGACAGTTCTGTGTATGTGTGTGGGGGGGTGTAGTACTGAGGATTGAACCCAGAGGTACTCTACCATTAAGCTATATCCTCTGCACTTTTTTTTTCTTTTTTTCTGAGATAGGGTCTTGCTAAATTACCCAGGCTGGCCTCAAACTTGTGATCCTCTTAATTCCAGAGTTGCTGGGATTATAGGCATGCACCACTATGCCCAACTAGATGACTTCTTAACTTCTTCATAGGAAAAGCTGCAAGTAATCTGTGATCATTAAAATACTACAGTTTCCTAATATTTTGTCCGGGATTTTTGTACTTATGTTTACAAGAAAGATAAGCCCATGGGGCTGGGGATGTGGCTCAAGCGGCAGCGCGCTCCGTGGCATGCGTGGGGCCTGGGTTTCGATCCTCAGCCCCACATACCAACAAAGATGTTGTGTCCGCCAAATACTAAAAAATAAATTTTAAAAATTCTCTCTCTCTCTCTCTCTCCTCTCTCACTCTCTCTTAAAAAAAAAAAAAGATCAGCCCATATTTTCCTTTGCCGTATTATCCATGTGTAATTTTAGATTCAAGTTTATTGTCTTAGAGAGACGAAGTGCTTCTGTTTTTATTTTTATTTTTTATTTCTATTCTTTGGAAGAATTTCTATAATTCTTCATGTATAACCTGTTAGTGATCTGTTCTGGAAAGATTTGTCCAGAACAGTGTAGCCTGTTGTTGTTTTGTTTTGCTTTTGGAAAATTAACTACTGATTCCCTTTCTTTAATAGGACCATTCAGACTATCTATTTCTTCTTGACTCAGTTTTGGTAAGTTATATATCTATTTCTTTCTTTTGGTAAGAATTTATCTATTTTGTTTGCATTTTCAAAATTGTTAGCAAAAAGTTATAGGTAATATTCTCTCTCTTTTTTTTTTTTTCCCCTGGTGCTGGGATTGAACCCAGGGCCTTGTACATGCAAGGCGAGAACTCTACCAACTGAGCGATCTCCCAGGCCCTTCTCTAACCTTTTAATCATTGCTCTTTCTGTACTTAGATCCACCTAGTCATTCTAATTTTATTTATGCCGTCTCTCTTTATCACTCTTTTGTGTTTGTGTATTTTATTTGCCTGTTCCTAAAACACAACTCTTGGCTTTATTGACCCTTTCTAGTTTATCTTTATTTAGTATTTCATTGATTTCTGATTTTCTTTCTTTATTGTTTTGGGATCTAACTCAGGTTGTGGAGCACTCTAAGCAAGAGTACATCTACCACTGAGCTACATCCCCAGCCCTTTCAGTATTTTATTTCGAGACACAGTCTCACTAGGATGCTGAGGCTGGCCTTGAATTTGTAATCCTTCTGCCTCAGCCTTTGGAGTCACTGGGATTACAGGTGTGCACCACTATAGCCCGCACGGTTTTATCTTTATCATATACTTCTCTCAGTTTTCTTTGTGATTTGTTCTTTTTATAACTTAAGTTGGCATAACTCATTACTTTTCAAGCTATTAAAAAATTTCAAGGCTGGGATTGTGGCTCAGTGGTAGAGCACTTGCCTGGCATGTGTGAGGCAATGGGTTGGATTCTCAGCACCGAATATAAGCAAAAAGAATAAAATAAAAGCTCATCAACATCTAAAAAAAAAAATTTCAATATGAAATTTTAAGGCCACAAATTGCCTTAGAAATACCACTTGCTATGTCCCATGAGTTTTCTTTTATAGTTTTTTTAAAATATTTTTTTAGTTATACATGGATATAATATCTATATTTTGTTTATTTATTTATATGTGGTGCTGAGGATAGAACCCAGTGCCTCACATGTGTGAGGGGAATGCTCTGCCACTGAGCCACAACCCCAGCCCAGTATTTTTATTTTTGTAGAATTTAAAAAAAAAAATTGTTTTGTTTTAGTTGTGGTTCTAAGGATTGAACCCAGGGTCTAGCACATTCTAGGCAAGTGCTCTACCACTGAGCTGCACTTGCAACTCTAGAGTTTTTGTGTTTTTTTTTTCTGGTTTTACTTAAGGGATTTTCTCCCCATTGGAAAAAATTTAAATGTAACATAACGTAGAAAAATATAGAAAACTTACATGTAGAGTATAGTGAATAATTAGGGAGCAAATGCCTGTGTAACCACCCCTGGGTTAAAAATGTAAAATTAAAAATAGAAAACCAGATTTCCAGCACTGAAAACACACACACACACACGTATATAATAACAAGTAAAACAAACAAAAAATACATAGATCAGGGGTTGGGATTGTGGCTCAGCGGTGGAGTGCTCGCCTAGCATGGGCAGGACTCCGGTTCAATCCTCAGCACCACATAAAAATAAAGGCATTGTGTTGTGTCCATCTACACCTAAAAAATAAATAAATATTAAAAACAAAAACAAAATAACGATAACTCACTAAAGCCCAGAAGCCCTTGGTGTTCTTTCCCATTTATAACTCCTCTCTGGCACAGATGACCACATTCTTAAATTTTGAAATTGATTTTATATATATATATATATATATATATAAAGAATCAATAGTTGGTCTCTTTTAAAATTTATATGAATGTTATCAATCATACACTGTATAAATCTTTTGGGTCTTGATTTTTTAAATCAACATTGTATTTTCAAGATTCATCCATATTGTGAAATGAACTGTGGTTTGTTTGTTTTTACTTGTCAAATAATGTGTAACTATGTCACAGATTTTTTTTTAAGTATTGGAGATTCCAGGGGTCCTCCACCAGCGAGCTATATCCCCAGTCCTTTTAATTTTTTAATTTGATCCTCCTGCCTCAGCCTCCCGAGTCACCAGGATTACAGGCTTACGGCACTGCAACCCGGCTATATTACAAATTCTTTAATCCACTGAAGTGGGACTTCTGGTTATTGCTCTGGGATACATATTATTGAAATGTGTTAAGATTTGCCTTATGACATAATATGTGGCCAGTTTTTGTAATGCTCCCTGCAGATTTGAGGAAGAAAAGAGAAAAGATTGTCTAAAGAACCCACTATCTGTATTTCCTATTTCCTCTTGCCTTAAATCCAGACTGCCCGAGTTTATTTCATTCCCTACTTCGCCCCGATAGGTTGAGTTTGTCATCTCTGGAAATCATTCAGAGTCAATATTTTCTCTGCAAAAATGTTTTCTGTATTTAAAAGGCCTGCTACCCAATGTGTGTGTACATGTATGGAGACATCACACTGCGTAGTATTAACATGCAGACTTATGATGGGTCAATTTACAAAAAGAACTGAAGAAGAAAGTCTGCGACAGCACAGCGATGACAAAAGAGCAGGAGGAACTTCTGAACTATTTCAGCTGGAATATCCCAGATGTGGGTCTCGGAGCCCCGGAGGGTCTGAGTTTGCAGAAATGCCAAGCTGTGGGAAAGGGGAGAACATGCTGGGCGATGGGTGAAGCTGACCTTTGTCTGAGAACTCTTGACATGATTTTAGGGTCAGGATTCCTGTCATCCATCTGCTGGCTCCTTGGACCACTCCGGCACTGGTATGCTTTCCAAGTCTGTATCCATGAGCGCCATCAACTGCCTCTCGGAGCGCTCAGATCCAGATGGTAAGTAAAAGAGGGGAGTGAATTAAAGATGGACCCTTCTCTAATCCATTCCATCACTAGTCCTCCGTCGGCTGTTCAGCATCCAGATGTCCTGGATAACCTCCAACCACACCCTTGGAGCCCCCAGAATGTCATTACTCAAATGAGAGATCTTAATTCAGGACTTTGGCATTTTGAGACTCTTCTGCCAATTAGAGGGGACCTAGGGCAGAGAGAGGCTCTCCAGCCTCCTCTGTCCCCAAAAGTGGAGGACAGTTATCTGAAATGTACCTTTTCCTCCAGATGGAGTACTGGGAACTCAGTGTGAATCTTTAGTCCTCCCCAGTCCACCAGAAACAGAACTGAAACATCAGGCCCCTCTCCCCCTCTTCTCATAACCCTGGTTCCCAAGTTCTTCAGCTGTGCTCTGCTCAGAACCCCGCCCTCCCTCCCTGCTCCCCAGTGCCCGCCATTTTGCCCTCAGGAATGGCGTCACATGCACCTGCAGCTTGGGAACCTGATCCAGGTGGAGGGGGTGGGGGAGGCAGCCCTGGGCGCCTTTGTCTGGCTTCAGCTAGACACTCCTCTTCTCCTTCTTTGTTGGCAGGACATTCATCCCAGTGCTCTGCCACTGACCTCAGCAAACCGTGAGTTTGGGGACTGGAATCCCTTCAAAGATCAAGGTGGGGGAGGAGCGATGGGGTCAGGGCCATGGATTCTGTGGCCCCCAGAGTATCTGCTTCCTGACACATACTTCCTTTAACATTTCTGATTACAGATCTACAAATATCCTTCTCCCTGAGATGCATAAAATTTGCCCTCTTCTCTGGGTTCCGATAGCCCCATGGGATGGGGGAGACATTAGGGAAAGAAAAGGAGTAACCCTATCACAGAGTGTCAGCTGGGTAAGAGAGTTGGCTATTGTCAAAGATATAAAGGTGGATGGGCAGCTGGGCTGTTGGACAGTCAGGGAGAGACAGTGACCAAGGACCAAGGTTGGGCTTTGGCTGGTTCAGATAACTGACCACTGGGTAGTGGTCCTAAGAGAGCTATGCAAGAGCTGTAGAGCTCCCAGAAGAGGGCAGGGCCTGAAGGCCAAGTTCAAGAACCCAGACAGAGGAAGCTGAGAGATTTTGATAACTGTCTAAATGAGCATGTAAAATCAGCACCTGTTCATTTGGCTCCTGTGACTGAGGTCTGAGTGGGACTGTCTTCTAAGGCAGTGTGGCTGTGTGAGCGAGGAGCACTGGGCCCTTTAAGATCTCAGACTCTGATTTGTGGTCCTGAAATTCTGCAGCTGACACATCCTCCTGGCTCTGGGTTTGGGATTAGCTCATGGGATGGGGCTGATGAAATCCCAGGAAATTCAGTCCTTATTGGCTTCAGGCCCAGAGGCTCTTTCCAAACAGCACGGGGTCTACACAGGGCTCTTGTTCTGAGGGGGGGGAATGCCCCCCTGGAGGGCTCTCCCTCCACTCCACTTCCTCTGGGCAGCAGCTTGAGAGCAGGGATTGGGTCCACCCATCCCGAGCCTGGATTAGGTGGGAAGGGGGAGTCTGCATGTATCTGGGAGGAGCCTGGAGTTCTCCTCATAAATAGAGGGGCCTGGAGAACTCAGTGTCCACATCCGGGAAGCCGACGGAGGTGTGTGGGGTGCCCTTGCGCCTCCTCTTTCTCCCTCCCAGTCTACCTGCCTTCCCGCGCTCTCTCCACCATCCCTGGGAGTATCTGGTTTGCTTTCCAGCTCCATCTCCCTCTTCTCACCTCTTCTTTGTCTCTCTGCAGCTGGAACCAGCTGGAAGGGAACTCTGGGACCTGGGCAGGCTCCTCCTTACGAAGGACCTTCAGCTTCCTCTTCCTCATGACAGGCAAGTCCAAGGTAAGAGTTAGAGAGGGACGGGGCCCCCCCGGGCTGGTCGCCCTCCCCGTTCCCTTCCTCCCGAGCCTCCCTCCCGTGTCACCCGTCCCCAGCCTTCCCTATTAGAGATTCAGGACAAGGCTCACGTTTTGAGGGAACACATGCTCACTCTTCCAGCCTCTGTGGCTGTGACCCAGCAAATCGCCTTTTCTCTGCTCTACCCCCGCCTGCCTCCAGCTTAGCAGGCAGCTGTGGACAGCTGGAAAAGGGACGAGGGCTGGAGCCGGGAGCTGAGGCAGGGCATGGCGTTTCCTGACTTTAGGTCTCCTGCGGCTAAGAGGTGGGCAGCAGAAACGTTATGTCCATTATTGTTGGACATGATAATGGTAATAATTACAGCAGGACTCTGTACTTCTTCGTAGAGTATTAGAGTTTGCAGAGGACTTTTACACTCGTAATTTCATGGGTGGAAATGGCAGCTGAAGGAGTTGAACTGAGGCCCTAGTGGGAGGGCAAGCCAGGACGGTGTGTGACTCTGGAGGACATGTGCTTGTGTGGCTGTGTGTGTTCTGATCCTGGTAAGTGAAAGCATATTGCTTTCCTCCTGGTGACCAACCCTCTTCTCTGGAGCCTGTAGCTTGAAATTCATTTCTGTTTTCTTTACTGACTGGTCTCCCCAGGTGTACATGTGTTTTCCCAACCTGGGGTGGCTTTTGGGCACTGAGAAACTCTAGAGAAGATATCCCAGTCGCCTTGAAGGACCAGGGTTTTTTCCCACACTAGGGTTGCTCAGACTCCATCTGGCTCTCCCTGAGGGCCTGGTGCTGCCCCCTGGGCCAGCCTCTGAGCCAGATTCCCTTCCTCTGAGTGGGCTGGGAAAGCAGACAGAGATGCAAACAGGTCACCTGTTTAGCACCTGGTTAGGAGTTGAGACTGGTGGATTCCCACCTGACCAGAGTCTCCCTGAGTTCAGAGGAGGTGAATCTGCTGGGGGAATCACCCTCTTGACTTGTCTTTTTTTAGTTATAGGTGGACACAATACCTTTATTTATTTATTTTTTATGTGGTGCTGAGGATGGACTCCCAGGTGATAGGCGAGCGCTCTACTGCGGAGCCACAACCCCGGCCCCTCACCCTGTCAGTACTGTGCAGGGCTAGGCTGGGCCCCAGGTGGTCTGTGTGTGCCCCCCCTGGGCCTAACAGCCATGTAGGAGGCTGAATAACCTAATGAAAGGGAATGTGGGCAGACCTTGGAGCCCAGACAAGCAACAGGAAAGAACCTGGGAAAGCCAGGATGTGGTCCCCTCTGGCCTTTCCCCACCAGGGCCTCTGGTCCTGTCTTCCTGTTTCCCTCCCTGCCATGCCTCGGCCCAGCTTCCTTCCAGCCTCTGGGGAACAAGGGCTCCTGCTTCACTTCATCTCCTCGACTCAGGATGTGGAACAGGGCAGGTAAACATCAGGGGGCAGGGCAGGACAGCAGCTCGGTCAGGCAGTGACAGAAGGAAGCAGTTCATTCCCCAGAGGCCACCTCATTCAATTCTTGTAAGAACTCAGAAGTGAGTGACTTTTATTTGTTTGTTTGTTTCCTTTCAGTACTGGGGCTTGAACCCAGGGCACTTTACCACCGAGCCACATCCCACAGGGTCTCACTAAGTTGCCTAAGTTGCCGAGGCTGGCCTTGAACAAAGACGAGTGTTTTAATCTCCATTGCATAGACAAGCTAACCCAGAGCTAAACTACTTGCCCAAGATCCCATAGCTAGTAAAAGGCGGAGCTCTGACATGGCTGCCTCTGCCCCAGCCCAACAGCCTGTCCCCTTCCTCCTTCCATCAGCCTCGGCTGGGGGGCGTCAGTTATGCCTTAATCCCCCTGCCCCATATACAAGATCCAGAGTAACAAGAAGAAACAGAGCTCTTCTGGCCCCGTGCAGGGTCTGGGGCCAGACATCTCCAGGGCTTGCTCTGTTCACCACTGGCCCAGCCTCTGGCAGTGGGGTCCTTCTCCAGGGAAACGGAAGGGATATATTTTATCAAGTTAAATGGGCTGAAGAAGGTGGTGGCAACTTTTAGATTCTGGCAGAAATTTTGATTTTTGTGTGTATAAAAACGAATTTCTGGAAATCTGAAAGATATCATTGGAGGGGGTGTTGGAATAAAGGAATAGTTTTCAGAGAGGGGTGGTGGGAGAAGGAAAAGTGTTCATTGTTCCCGAGGACACAGGAAATGGACCCTGAGTCGAGCTGCAGACTTAGCTCAGGAATGCAGGCATTTTTAAAGGTAGATTAGCTTTCTTTACCTCCTTCCTGCTTCATTTTTTTTTTTTTTTTT